GAATAACTTGAGTTTTTCAATTCAAATCACTCCGGCGCAGAAGCTCGAACATGAAGGAAGTTACAGCCGTAAAAAGAAGAGTGAAAACTTGTGTTGCAATTGTTTTTTTTTGCTCAATAACTTGTTAACTTCAAATTTTTTGAGGACAAATCAGGTTTGCAGCACATTCTAAATTCAGGTTCTAAGCACATTCTAAACGCGATCAATGCGCATTCATTACTTTGTTACCTCCACTTTTTATATCACTACACCTATTATTGCACCTATCGGGATTTTGGGCCTTATCCTGTAAGGGGAGGGGGATCACATCGCGTGAAATCATCTACTTCTTTACAGGAGAGGGAAGCTTCGGGGTGGATGCAAAGGTTTAGGCGAAATGGTCCACGCATCTAGGGGGTCCCCCTTGCGAAAAATGGAATATCTGTATTCGGCAAGAACTGCAGCACCACATACCCTCTCTTAGTGGATGAGATCCGTTTTTTTTTTAGACAGATTCTTTCCGCTGTCTTCCATATACTGAATGTGTCCGTATATATTTCATTGGCCCTTTGTGTGCATATCATCCAAAAGAAATTTTTATTCTTATGCTACGTACACATACAGGGGGGGTCGTATCAAATCACCCATGAAGGGGGGGGGGTCAAAGAGTAACAACAATAGAATTGACCCTGCCCTCGCACACTTTTCACACTCGCCGGGCTTTGCGAGTGTACTTCGGCTCCCGTGGACGCCGCAGCATTATCTCGATACTCATATAGCGACATGACGTTTGCGATGTGACATGGGTGTTCGTAAGCCGGCCTCTCACGGGGGCCCATCGCCTGCAAATGTCCGCGTTTAGCTCAGCTCACAAAAGTGAGCCGTTCCCAGTGGCAGTACTTGGAGCAACAGACACCACCACCTCGAGTGGTTCTGGTGCAGAGCGATTTTTTTGAAAGGGAGGGGGAGTTCAGCTACACTGACTGAGAACCAATTCGGAGCTAAACAGGTTGGCAAGGAGCACGACACTGCGACAGCAGCACCTCGCACAATGCCAATTTGGCCGAAGCACACCTCAGCTATCAGCTACAAGGCGGAGGCATAGTCGGGCCGCCGTTGGTTCGAGTTGGAGCTTCTTGGAGCAGGATGACTCTCTCATATTAGAGGTTTTCCGGTTAATTACGGACATTACCGTAACGTCTAAAAATGATTGCCAGCGCAGTGTTCCCAGAAAACCCCTACTTCCTACTTTCTTGGAAAAGAAGAATGTTCAGAGTCCAAAAAGATGGTAGTCTCACAAGGGAAGGATACCAAGTCGAAGTGGTCATCCGTGATGAAACCTATACTCAGAGACGTGTTTTCGGATGATCTTGTCAGACCTGCCTCGAACCTAAACCATCTTTGTGACCGATTATGGACAGAGCTCATGGAAAAGTTTTTGAAGAACTCGATGAAGCCCTTACCCTACCACTAGCGCAGTGCAGTGTAGTGATAACACGGCTGCTTACACAGGAACTGATTTCGAGTTCCCGTGTCCGGCTCTGACCGAGGCTATGTGATCTGACCAAAGCTCTGCACACTTAGGGGAAGGGTTTTTTGAACGGGGATTGGAAAAAACAACAATTATAAAAGCGAAAGGATAAAAATTTTTTGGCCTTGATCAACCCTTCCTGGGATACACCGCGCCATCTAGTTACCCATTCAGGATAGTGGGGCCATTTTGAATGCGACTTAGACTATACAGTGAATTGCGGAATCCAACCGTTGTACAACCCAGTGTGTTTATCATCCCGAACAGGTCTGGACAAGCGACACCACTTGCCATTACACCACTTCCGCCCTTTATCTACACAACTGGTCAAAGATCAGCAATTAACAGAACATACACTACTATATGTAATCGCCTAAGCGGTTGTGTGTGTGTTTGTCTGTGTGGCCGGAAATTCATAGCTCGGGCACCAGTGGTCGTCAGGAGTTGGTCAAGATATGATATAGGGGGTGGGACGGGAACATTGGTGGGGTAGAGGAAGTGATAGCAATTGATAAGGGCTGACAAAAGGCGCGAGAACGCAAGTGTCGCGAAATTCATAGCTCGGGCACAAGTGGTCGTCAGGAGCTGGTTTCAAGATATGATGTAAGGAGGGGGGGGGGACATATTTGATGGGGACCAGGAAGTGATAGCAGCTGATAGGGGCTGATAAGAAGCGTTTTAAGGGAAATGTCACGACATTGACAGGACAAGTCCCAGCAGCACTGAGGCGCTACTTTGCAGATATGATAGTTAGGGGGGGGGGGGTGCGACGGGAACATATTTCACAGGGACCAGTAAAGGATAGCAGCTGATAGGAGCAGATAAGAAGCGTAGGAAGGGAAATCTCACTGATGTTCTCATTCAAATGGGAATAAAAAACATCTCATTTCTTCGGGATGTAGTCGTGATCTGTTCGACCACTAATCGGCCCAAGTAAATGGGAGGAGGGGGCGTCTGTACAAATACGATAACTATTGGTATTTCGATCTTACCACTATCATAAGAAGTTTTTAGACCGCTACAAGGTCAAATAACCAAAGCATGGCAGATGTTTACGCTGAGGGATGACAATAAGCAGCCTAAGCAATTGTATTGGCTATCCAATGCTCATTCGACTGCTATAGTTTGGTAGTTCCAAAAAATGATAGATGTTTATTGGTATTGACGAACTGTGAGAAAATATTGCTTCAACATCTGATTTCCTTGATACCATCAGTTAAATCCATTGAAAGCAGTATCTCACTCAGTACAATAGCCCGGCTAAATTGAAGTTCACGAAGCCTATGCTGGCATGCGCGCAATAGCGGGCGGTGCAAAACTGGTACATACTAAAGCAATAAGCTTTGAAACCGGTTCCCTTGCAAAAATTCAGGCTGTTTCAATTCTTGAGCTGTAAAGTGCGGTTCCGGCCGCTTTTTGCGGTAGTACACTTGAGAAATGCAATTCCCGCAGTAGCTCTGCTTTTCCCTACTCACTGAGCCAACTGCCACGTCGGCAAATGCAGCTCGACAAGCTGAATCACTTTCGTGAAAAAACGGAATGCGGTTCAGTCCTTCCCACTACGCAACCCGCCTAGGGATAAAGCAGAACCCCTCATGTAAAAATTCCGATATGGCTTCATCAGTCCGTCTGAGTGCTGACTTCAGCCGGTTTACTTATAAGCGCCTTGTCCACAGAAGAACATCGGCTCCGAATAATCCGCTTAGTAATAGTGATTAGTTAATTCCCACGACCACGCTGAAGGCACGACCCAGGATCAGTCCAGATAAATGAAGCCTTCTGGTGCATAGAATAGAGCTGCTTACGACGACAGCATACTTCTCCTTCTCACAGTTTTAAAGTGCGCAGGAGGGCGCCATAGCAACAAAGACCGCTTCCAACTCTACTTAGTCCTCGTCATGCTAGTGTCTGCTCCATCTCTTTTTGGTGTGTTCCGTCCGCCCATCCCCTCTCCAACGTGCTTTGTCTCCCATTGCTTGAGCACAAATGTAGGCGAGCCCTCATTCTGGCGCCTTCACCGGTTTCTTTTCCTTTTTCTTCACCAGTGACCTAGTTCGCTCCAATGCTTCCATTTTCGGGTATAAGAGGGGCACCACTTCAATCCCAGATCCGATAGCTGCGTGATCCCCACAATGAAGAAAGTCTAAGTAAACTGCCAACGACGCCTTGAATAATGCTACCCTTTCTAGCTGGTCTCTTTTAACGAGCCCACAGTAGAGAAGATAAAGTGCGTAGGGATAAGAGACCACGAGGAGATGAAGGATAAAGAGAGCGGCGAAGAGAGGACGGGTCGGTCAGACTGCCAAGCCTTTGGAGCCTGATAGCGCAATTTAAACCACCCTCAGGTGCGGTGATTCCGCACACATGTAGGACCTTCTTGCGCCCATTCACTTCTCTGGCCTGACGTACTCGGAGGGGTCTTTCAGTACACAACGCGGTTTCACAGAACGGTTTTTTGCAGATTATAGTGGGAAATTTTCTAAGCGATCCCCTGAATGCAAAAAAAGAAGTACAAAAATTCCGCAGAAATGCATTTTTGCAGCCTTGGTGCATTTTAGATCTACTGCTGACAGCATTAATTAGCATATTATCAGGATCTTGCCGGAGGGTACCAGTGTTCTTATCACCGTTGTGACGTTCATTTCTGGTGCCAACGCAACAGGGCGCCATTTCAGCTCCATTCGGTGCCATTTTGACACCGCCTGAGCACCGTACACTTTTTCCACGAGCTTCTTATAAATCAACCCAGATAGGGCAACGATGATCCTGATCCCAAGGGCAACACCCATTCTTTAGCGCTGCGACATTCATTAGCGCATTACATTACATACTTAGCGACATATTGTAGTCCCTATCTTGGAATGCAAAACTTGTCATCCCTGGGAATCGATCCATAATCTAATACTTTTAATCCACTTCTGGAACTTACAGGACCATTTAGAAGAGAACCGGCGCTGATTCGTCGGACGGGGCATCACTATGCAGAAAGCCCACAGGGCTAACACTCCCTCTCCTAGCACTTCCTATGACTAATGGTAAGCTTTTGGGGGTATTGGGAGAGGAGGGGTAAAGCAATTTTCAATTCCTGCGCGGTTCTTCCTCTCCTAGGCTCAAGCCACACACCGATACTTAGCTCAAAGACACCAACGTCGAAAACCATATTTCTAGGGTCAATGTAAGTACAAAAACTAATTTGGAAGGAGCTGGAAGCCGCAGGACCTTCCTGGCAAGCTCATCGCGGCGAGAGCCTCGAGTCCAAATTTCATAGAACAATCAAGCGCTGGGCAATACCTGTTCTCAAAGAAACGGTGCAAACGTTTGCACTTTCATTGATCATTCGATAAGGGCACTTCTTTCCTTAGACACCCAGCAGAGAGCAAAACCCCGAGCCGATTCGATTACAGCTTGCAGGCCTGGCAATCATTTGCCTCTTCCAACAGCTCTTACCGGACCACTAGTTCCGCTGTACTCCTTCCAATCAGCTGCGATAATGGATATATGGCCATGGCCACGAGGACCGTCCCACACGATGCGTGACATGATGCACGATTTTGATCGTTTCGAAAGAAGCATGTTCCCGTACTGGAGAGATGCCGACCACTCGGTTCTTCATGTGGGTCGCGACACTCTTTAGGTAGGCCTTCAACATCTGCGGCATGCGCCCTTTGCAGTGTACCCTTTGCATTTTGCAGCCAATCAACGACGACAAAAAGTTTGTTGTCAGCTTGAACGTGTCGCATTTTCTTCCAGAAGAGTTGAATGTTCATGTGGAAGGACGGGAACTGACTATCGAAGGCAAACAAGAGCAGAAAGACACGAACAGTTATGTGCAAAGGTAGGAATAGACCACATGCCAGTTTTCGCCATACATATATTTCTCGCATATGACCCGCAGGCGCGTAAAATCAATGGCCATATTTCATAGCAAGCATCAGATTTTTAGGCTTTTATTCAATAAGGGGAGGGGCATTGTGATTTTGAGCAGTTAACGCGTTTACTATCACTGAAGATATCTTCTTTTAGTGTAAATGCTAAGCGGCGCAATGTGGCTCGGGGGGGGGGGCAGTCAGTCGCCGCCGCGGCGTCGCTAAGTCCTGTATTCTCGAACATTCCAGCTTCTCACGCATAATTGACTGCCCTCACCCTCGACCCCCCTAAATTGGCTACATTCCCCTGGCTCACAAGTTTCCAGGAAAATAAAGATTGCTGTCCCACTCCTGCCCTACTCCCTGAAAGTGCGGTTGATTTGAAGCGAGACGTATGCCCAGCAGACTTGCGGGGGTCATACTCACGCATCTTCGGTGTCCCCGGAAGAG